TTTTCTTGGTAAATATCCAAGATCTAAAAGCGGAAATGCTTATATTTTCATAGTAGTTGATCATATGACCAAGTTCGTATTTTTAAAGGCAATGAGAGAAGCTACAACGGCAAATGTTGTGAGATTTCTAAAAGATCAAGTTTTCCATATATTTGGTGTACCAGAGGTTATTCATTCAGACAATGGACAACAATTTACTTCCAAAGAATTTGCGAGAATGATTGAAACATATCAGATAACACATCTAAGAACTGCTGTTTACTCTCCACAATCAAACGCTTCTGAGAGAGTAAATCAGAGTGTTTTGTCTGCCATCAGAGCATATATGGAAAATGATCACAGGGAATGGGATATTAACTTACCGGATATTGAGTTGTCTTTGCGCACATCTTGGCATTCTGCAACAGGTTGTAGTCCATTCTTCGCGTTGTTTGGACAAAATATGTTCACTTGCGGTTCGGACTACAAGTTAGCAAGACAATTGAAAGCTTTGGATGATAATGAAACCATAATTGAAAACTCTGATAGAATAAAACTAATAAGAGACAAAATGAAAGAGAACCTGGATAATGCATATAAGAAAAGTGCTTTAAGATATAACCGTGGGGCGAGAATAGTTAAATTTGTTCCTGGACAGGAAGTTTACAAAAGAAATTTTCTACTTAGCAACTTTAAGAACAACATTAATGCTAAATTTTGTAAAAAATTTACTAAATGTAGGATAGTGAAGGTGATAGGAAACAATATGTATGAATTGGAAACATTAACAGGTACTCCATTAGGTATTTTCCACGCAAAGGATATTAAACAATGAATATAATAAAGTGCAATATAGTTTATAAGGATCAAATGTGCAATATATTAGTGACAAATAATCAAATTTTTACTTACGAGTGCAATATTAGGTTAAGATTTGTGTTTTGTCATTGATGTGTTGATTATTTCCTCCTTGATTATACAAATATTGTTCTTCGTCCAGTGTTTAAGGTCCTTTGTAACTAAAATGGTACCTGTGAAAATTGGAAGGTCCACTCATATTCATACAAGACACAGTAAATTGAAATACATTCCTAGGTTGAACATTCGTGGAGGATTGCCCGGCTAACTCTTTAGATGTAGAATGGTGGGTGTAGCCTACGTTGGGCGCTGAAGGATTTAAACAATCTTACCTCCCACTGTCGTTCCTGCGAAGCATCTGGGTACGCCAGAGTTTTGTTGAGGTAGATTGGGAATCTGGGCGGTCTTCTTGGTCCCTGGTGTGCTGGTTGCATGTTGTTGTTTTTTTTTTTTTGTAGATTCTTGTGTGTGGAAGGTTTTTGTGGTGTCGTTTTGAGTTTTCTTGGGTTGAATGTTCCTGTGCGTGGTTTTTCTTTTGTTGTTGAATTGTGTAAATGGAATTTTGGTCTTTGCATGTTGAATTGTGTTGTTTCGCTTTTGTTTGTTTTCTTAGTTGTTCAATGTATATTCTTTGTTGTTGACATGTCAAAAAGAAAATAAAATAAACATCAATAAGGTGACTCAAATATTAAGATGATTTAAAAAAAATAGGGTTGCCGGATAGGAAATATGATGGAAGGAAGAGAGTTAGATAAAAGGTCTTCTCTTAATAAAAAAAAAGGCAACTTCAAGGCCAAAGGCAATAGTACAATGACCCAAATATGACAAATGTACAAAGTGCTCTGGGAAAAGAAAAGAAAACGTTGTTTTTTTTTATATATAATATTTGTTTGTACAAATTGTCCGTTACTTTCTTGTGTGGTTTTTTAGGAAAATTAAAGTTAATTTCAATCAGATATAGAAAGTAACTCACAAGTGAAACAAGTGTGTACCAATTACATTTAAATATAACAATAAGGTGAACATATTGAATATAAACTGTTCAAGAATATATTGACAACAGGTACAAGTGCCTTCCAAATATACCAGAAATAGTGAATATTCAAAGAAACCAGTGAGTAAAAAGAAAAAAATAAAAACGTTAGAGTAAAATAAGGTGATTAGTTTTGAAATTATGAATATTTTTTTTATATTTAATAAAATAGAAACGTGTCATAGGACAAGCAGACGGGGAATTGTATGAGAATAACTCATGAACCTTGCGGAAAAGTCCATACGACACCTATTCTGGGAGTAGAATAATCAAATTCAAATTTGGAGGTAATACTGTTCTTTATATATATATATTTAAAATTACATTGGTAGCCCAGTAGTGGTATAATAACACACGTCATCTACAAGTCACATTATTTGAGTTGAAAAGTAATTCTATAAGAAACCCTGGATCAGAACCATTAATCAGAATCAGAACCTGCGAATACGTTCCACAAAATAAAATTGACTTTATAGCAAAAAGGCATTAGGCTAATACGAGTTAGGTTAGGTTAAGTTATATATAATTAATTTGTTTAGAATAAGTTTAGGCTTTTAATTTTTAAGAAATATAATTGTTAAGTTTGATATTTTCTTTGTTTGTGAAGGGATCGAACTAAATACAATAATAGTAATTTTCGAAAAAAAAGAAGGCGAGGAATAGTATATTAGAGCCTCAAAAGATTCATCCTTCAGGGAGCTCCTTTAGGGATTTGAGAAAAAAAAAAAATATAGAAATTTAACGTTTTAAAATAGTGAGTAAAGTTTTGAAACTCAATAGAAAAGTTGTTTTAGTTGATCCTTATTTAGTTTGATTGTGTTATTTGTATAGGTTAAATGTTTTTTTTTATGTTTAGTCATTAATTTTATATAGATTAAGTTTAGTATTAGAAAAGAAATTAGTTTTTAATATCATCCTTATATAGAAAAAAAAAATTACTTAAATCTTGAAAACCCATTCTATTATTCAAGTTTATAGAAAAACTGAATAAATAGCGTGTGTCGATTTTCATTGTTTGGTTAAAACAATTGAAAACAATTGGAGAAAGCAAAATTTTATGAGCTATTTCAAATAAAAAAAAAAAAAAGGAGAATTAGAAAAAGAAAAATTATTATTGGTTAAAGTAACCGTTCGTTTGAACTTAAATGTTCTTTATGTTAGCTGGAAACCCCGGAAACGAAGGATAAAATAATTATTAGGCAATTAACTAAGAATATAAATAATTTTAAAAAAATAACGTATTTTGACAATTTGAATTTTACAAGACCTTTTGCTATGTATATATATAGAAATCATACCTGTTAGTTTAAGTTATATTGATGTTTATTTTAAGTATTAAATGTAATAAATGTGATTTGAAAAGAAATTTTGTTAAAAAAATGTGTTGCTAAATTTTGTGCAGTTACAGGTACAGTGGGCCGAAGATGTGTAAGTTGGTGATATGGTGAGTTGTTAAATATGTGTATAAGAACAAGAATATGAAAAGGGTCATTAATAGGATAAGTGACCAAGGTAGGGTGGGCGACGAAGATGGGATTAACATCTTTACCCATACTTTATAAATGTTTGTGTTATATGGAAATGAAATTGAGGGAAGTTAGGTAGTTAGATATTTATTTTTTTGTTGTGACGAACCACAGTTGGTGTAGATGCGGGTTGAGATCCCACGCGGAAGACTGAGCTAGTAGAGGCGGCATCGTAGATCACCAAAAGAACACAGAAGGTTTCGTAACAATTATTTGAAGTTTATTTTGAAAACTTTATAGAATCGGTTCAGTTTTAGAAATAAAAAATGTTTTTTTTTTATATATAATTTTTAATTATACCATTTTCAATACAGTGTTATTTTCGCCAATTAGTAACTACAACTGTTATTACCTTTATTGTGAATGATTTTTTAAGTTACTTAAATTAAGCGTATACTTAATTTGAGCGTGTTGTAAAATCGAATAAAATTGTCATCACACCAACATTTTTAACTTCATTTTCGACCATAAAACCCGCGTTTTTCATGATTTTGGTGTTTTTGAATAAATAAAATTTGACAACCCTGTTTTTCATCATTACTGCTAACCACATGTTGTGAATTGTGTCAAATACCAAAAAGAAGAAGCATTTTCTTTTATTCGTGTGTTTCTTAATTCTCTGTTGCGGTAAAAATATAGGTTAAATATTAAAAATAACATATTTTTCTAAAATAAAACTAAATTAGAACTGAATTAAATACATTTCTTTAACTACGTTACTAATTCGAGCATAAAAACTCGGCGAGAATTGTAATAAAGCAGACAATAGCTAATGCTCGAAAGTACAATACAACGAATTGGCAAATAAAAAGTAGGAAAAATAAATAATATGCGATGAAGTTCGTAGTATGTAGTATACAAAGTATATTAGTTGTGTTTTGTTGCTAACGTTCAAAGGCAATTTCATATAAATTTAAAATTTATAAACGTTAGGAGTTAACGTGTAAAATTATACAAGTTAATTTTAACGTCGATAAAAGTGCTACCAATTCAAAAATAAAAATACAAATATTAATGTGTTTATGTCAAACAATAAAAAAATATTTTAAAATAAAATTTAAATCAAAAAAAATATCAAATAAAAAAACCTTTTTTAAGAAAATGTGAATAATTTCAAGATTTAGCAGATTTCTTCTGCGGAGTGATGCCAAGTCAGGTAATGTTCGTTTTGTTGCTAACTTTAAGCGTTAACACTCATTGATAGCAACAAAACACAACTATTAATAAAGTAGCATCACTTGAACAGCTGACTATTTTTTTTAAACTAGATAAATGAAGCAAATTGTCAAAGTTTGTTTTGAAAATTGTTAACATTGTTTACGTCGCCATTTTTAAATTGTGTTTTGCTATTTGTTAAAATTTGTGAAAAGTTGAAAAAGTGAATTAAAAGTGGTTTTAAATTAGTTTAAAAGTGTAATAAATTGTATAATATATAATAATATAATTAAATTGTTAATATTTTTAACTTAAAAGTAATATTTTTTATTTATGTTTTGTTCACATTGTTGTTCAAGGAAATTTTATTTTGACACAATCTTAAATTATTCCAAAAACAAAATACATGTGGTTGTTGTAGATGTTGTTGTACAACAAGAGATGTCGCTACTTTATTAATATACTTTGGTAGTATATAAAGAGAAAAAGAAAAATGTTGATAATAGTGGAAAACATTTAGACACGCCGAGAAATAAAGTTTCAAATAACATCGTCGTATATAAAAGAATAACTTTTTGGTGTTACGATAAAATGCAAATTTTGTTAATTATTTAATTAATTAAGTGATAAAAAAATTGGAATATTTTCGTTATAGAGTAATATTGCTAAATTAGGAACAGCATAGCGTTCTTATTTGAAATAAGGTGAGTTATAACAATTAAATGCTATTTTCGTACTGTGCGTGGATGGATAGATGTGGATGCATGGCATGGTTTTTGGTTTTGTAACATAAATTCTACACAAGTTTAAAAATAAATCATAAACATATTTCCATATTTGTTTAAAATGTCTTTCCACTTCATCGCATCATAAGTGTTGCCAATTTAGTTAATATTTGCAAATAGTTTACGCGTAATTATAATGAGATGAGTGATAATTTTGCGGAAACAGAGGAAATCACTGCAAACTGAGCATCACTGGCGGAAATGTAATTTAAAATATTATTTTAATTTATATTAAATTGTTTACATATTTCTGTAAATGCAGTAAAAGCTGTTAAGTTTTTTTTTTAAAGACATGTTGCTAAAACAATAAACAATTAACATGAAGTCTAAATCCATAAATTGCAGTATCGTTGAATAATTAAAAAGCAAAACATTTGAAATCTTAATAAAAATTTAGTTTATTGAAGACACAAAAACTGTCCACAAAGGTTTGGACAATCGTTATTAACTGAAAACTTAATTATTCTATAAATATTCTTTTGTAGACTTACATAAATTTGATATTTCATTTCTTTGTGAATTCTTTCATTATTGAATGAATTTCTTATCAAATATTTTAATATTTCTATAAATGGACTCTATAATACCTTACACCGATATAAAGTATGACATGGTTAATTAGAAAGTGATCATCATATATTATAGATAAATTCTGTAAGAAAATTTTTGTAAAAATTAAAGTAATTTTGGTTAAATTGATACCGAAATTCGATGTTGGATCGATTCAAAACTTTTCCTACATAATGCTATAGGTATAATTACTTACAGTAGCAAACATTTTAAAAAAATTATTAGTATTAAAGTAATTTTCGATGTATACCGATAATATGAACCAAGAACGATTCTCACTAAATTTAATTATATAATATTTAGTGGCAATCATTCTTGATCTATAAAATTGCATCCTTTAGCATGACTACAAGATTTTTATGGACGAATTTTAAATCGATTTGTATAAAGCTACTGGACTAGATTCTTTAAGTATTACCTAAATGAAAGCAATATCTCCTGGTTATGGTTTATTATTAGCATTTATCCTACTTTTTGCTTCTTAAACAGAAACAACGAGTGTTGAAGGTGAAAATTGTATTGTATAGAACTTAGGTAATTCGAGCAAATCTAACTTAAAATAATATTTAAAAAATATTATTCAATTTTCTTTAAGTTTTAATTAAAATCTTTACTAAAAATAGATATTTAGTTTTATAATACACGAAATTAATTTGAAAACGAAATCAATTCGAACAGGTAGGAAAGTCGGACATGGTCGTCCTACATCAACTATATGTATGTATGTACATATGTACATATATAAAAATATGCATTTTTCATAAAAAATATTTTACCTTATTTTTTTATTTTCTAAAATACAGTGGAACATTATTAAAAAGAACCCAAAAAGAAACTCATATTAACGTTTTTATAATATTGTAAAATAGTTGGAACTGAGATATATACAAAGCAGCTACATATATTGGTATTTACGTGACTGTACTTGCTTTATTCATTAAAATTTCACAATTTTTTGTATTTATTGCCAAATGTATGAATCACATATGTACATGTATATGTGTCTAAAATTAGACTGTTGTTTTGCATCTTTTTAATGAGAAATATCTCGAAAACCAAACATTTATCTTAATAGCAGGTTTCTTTACTTGTTTATATTTTCTAGAATATATTCGAAATACCAAAAAGCTAAACAGACAGGTCACATGTCTTTAAACAATTCAATTGTGTGTGTAGTTGTAAAGCAGATACCTCGAAAACTAGCATAGGTAGATAATAAAGGTAAACAAGTAATATTTGAACACGTACACATATACAGTGTTTACTTGGCTGTATATAAATACATATGTACATACATATGTATGTACATATCTCTCACTGCTGTAGTAAGCAATAAAATAAAATTTTTAAAGTAATAAATCATTTTAGATAAAAAAAATGAAAAATCTCGTAAGTAGCTTTTTGTAAAAGTAATAGCCTGGTTTTGTGATTTTAGTTTATATATGTAATTTTCTGATTAAAATAGGATTTGAAAGTTCAAATACGATTTTAACCAATGGTCGATTTTTAACAAAATCACAAGTTGATAACACTGTTGTGCATCTACAAAGCGCACGTTTATTTCAAAATTGTTTTATCTTCAAAATCATGGGTTTTTTAATCAAGTGCCACAAAATATCAGCTGAAGTCTTTCAGATAGCTTTATCTTTTTTGAAACAAGTTTAAACACATAAGCAAAACTATATACATTGGAGACTACATATAGTACTTGATATAGTTTTTTACATTAGCAAAATCGGTCCATAGATAATGGAGATACAAGCAAAATACCGAAAAATCAAAGGTTTGGCCACATTTATATCAAGAGAAAATTTTTTGATAGACTTTTCATTTGATATATTTATTTCTTCGGAATATGTATGTATGTATATCCGAAAATAATGTCTAATGTAATGTTTTTAGGGATTCTTGTCAAATTTTATCATTTATGCGCCGAATTTTTTTTTATAAACATTCAAATCTGTTTTGCGAAACTCTGCTTGTGAGTTAGGACACTCTTGAAGCAAATGAACGAGACCCATACATACATACATTTGTATATCATAAACCATAAACACGTTTATTTTATTAACAATAAAGTGCATTAATCGTAGTTGTTTTTGTAAATTGAATGGTTGTATAAAATGTTAGTAAATTTACCAACATTATTTAAAACGTATTTCCGGCAATTTAAAAATTTTTTAATTTTAATAATTTTGAATTGAGCTATTTTTGTATAAAATTAGAATGTAAGATAATTAAGAGCAAATAATTGTTTAAAATTTAGATGATGTAATATTATTCAAATATGCGTAAAGTGTTCGTGAGTACCTATATTTATATTTCTATAAAATTCATTAATCTTTTAGTTTAGAAAATGTACATATTCGAATTAATAATTAACATAGTGCATTGATTTATAGTTTTCTTAAACAAATTTACATTATATTTGAATTTTTCTATTGTATTCGCTTTTTTAAAACATTTCTAATGTAAATAATAAAAGTTAATCTTTATACTTATTCATAATTATTTATGCTAAATTAAATAATTTAAATCTAAATTAAACACTTTGTCGAATTTTTATTAAAGTATTAACATTTTTATCAAAATTATGTTTGTTCAAAATATAATTCTGTAGGGACTATAAAATGACATGTAAAACACTTTAAATTTTTTAGTTTATATAGAATTTGCAAGTTGAGCACATCGCTGATAAAATAATTTATAAAAGGCTTTAAATAAAATTGATTAAAATAAAAACGTGTACATATTAAATATGCAATAAAATACAAAACAGTTTCGAATATCGCAAATACTTACATATTTATAATGCATAAAAATAAAAAGTGCTGAATTTATAAATTATAAAAAAAAATTACAATTAAAAACACAGCAAATTATTTAACAGATAAATAATAATTATCAATATAAATACCGTTACTAATAGAAAAATAATACTTATTTAAATTTAATATTTTTTAAACTGTTTTTATAAAAGTAAACAACAATTTTGGTAATTAAGATTTTAATTATATCATTAATATTTGGAGTACCAAGTAAATAAAAGTAAAAACAAATATTTTATTAAAAAAAGAATGCATGTAAGTATTTTTACATGCATATGTATGAGTTCATTTAACATTTTGTTTGCCTATAATACGTTATTTGAAATTTTAATTTCATACAATTATGTGTTTTGCATACAAATTAAAATTCAATAAACTTTTATTTTTTTTTCTTACGAACGATCGAATGCATGAATGATTACACATCATGATTGAATAAAAAAATCGAAAAATAAATTTAAAACAATATACAAAGATAGTTAAAATTTTTACAAACAAAAATAAAGAGGACAAAAATGTACACTTGACCAATTAATGATTTTGTTGTATTCTAATTGCTTTGAGTAGCTCCGTAGACTTTTATTGATCAAATTACAATGATAAAGGCTTGGCCGATACAAGTTGTTATTTAATAACAGCAAATAAACTTTTTAACAAATCTTTGATTTATTTTTTAAATTAAGTTCAATCAAAATTAATTTAATATAATTGTTAAATAAAATTTTATTTTTTTTTTTTAATTGATGGTTAGTTAAATCAATTAGGTAGTTTGTTAGTTTAATAGTTTTTACGCATTTTTTAAATCAGGTAGAACTTTTGGGTCAAATTTAATTTGTGCTAAAGGTGAACATTTTTATTGTATATAAATGTGGTAATTTTTGATGTTATAAATGGTTGGTAATTTCCCGGGAAATATCCGGGCAAATCCCTGCAGTTTAACTTAAATTATTATTTTAGCTTTTAGCACAACGTTTTTTTTCGCAGACACATTCGGGCCATTCACTATAAGGTTATTGGAGACAACAGTATTAAGTGATTTGAAAATTGGTTGCAATTATTCTGTTTTAATTAAAATCTTTACTAAAAGTAGATTTTCAGTTTTATCGAAATCGACATGATCGACCATATGATATGTTACCAGTCGCGAAGATTTCTGAGGCGCTTCTCCTCCCCAAGCTGTCTAGCCATCTAACAGCAGCTCGCCACCAGTATGGAATTCGTAAGATGCAAAGTACTACCTCAGCATTAACCGCTTTAACCACTCAGATTTCACAAGACACTAATTATGGCGCTGGACTTATCGAAGGCCTTCGATACAGTCTCTTTACTACACTCGTCCAGGAAATCCTGCAATCCACCATGCCCAACAATTTAAAGAGATGGATTCTAAATTATCTGAGTGGTCGTCAGTCGTTTGTTGAAAACGTTGATGAGCTATGCGAGTGAATGGTTATTTTGGAGAAATACACAATTTTTTACTGGACCTATCCTGAAACTATCACCAGCGAAGTTTTCAGCAACACTCTTCACCATCTGGACGAAGGAGGTAAACACAAACTTAGGCGTCGTAGTCGATGGAATTCAAATACCGACTTTGAACCAGCCAAAAATAAATAAAAAAAACCATTGGCCGGTCAGTGGACAATTATGCTGCTGCAGAGTGATCTCCTTCGCTGAGTAATACCCAGTAGAGAGATATTCAAAGCTGCCAAAATGCTGCCCTACGGACTGTAATAGGCTGCATGCAAATAACCTCAGAGCACGATAGTTCTTCCTGAGATGTCAACTAAGGAGTCGGATCGTAATATGAACGACATTCATAAAGACGCTAACAATGCCTGAACAACAATATGAATGTCGTTCTTGGAAGTCGCTCACCGCCTATTGCAGAAATAGAGAACCTGCCGTGGAAAACAAGAAGTTCTCTGGCACAAGTGAGATCGAGATGGAACGACAGGCTCAACGCCTACTGGTCTTGCATAGACAGTACCGTCCCCAATATATGTATACCCAGCATGTGGACAGGGTCTCCATGATACCCACCACATACTCAACTTTCCAGCCCACCCTACTTTACTTATCCACATGGATTTATAGACTAACCCTGTAGAAGTAAACCCAATTTCTTGACAGAATCCCAGGATTAAAAATTGTATAGTTTAAGATGTTACAACAACAACCATATGATAACCTACATCATATTTTCATAAAGTGGTTTTATATAATAGATTGGGTCAAATATGGGGCCATATTATGGGCTGATCCTCATAAAATGAGTAACAATCATAAAACTTATTTGTACCGAATTTCATCAAAATCTCTTTAAAGATCTGTCAATCCAAACATTGCGCACAGGGTTTATAGGAACTTTAAGACAGTTCTGGCTAAGAAAACTTTAGTGATAAGAACTATTCTTATTTCGTAAAGTTATTAGTATACTACATCAAAAAGTAATCAATTGAAAATAGTTAATTTAAAATAACAATAATTACTCATACAAAAATATTTTTGGGAATTTAAAAACCCCGGTAGTTCTTAATATCAATAACTTTTAGCTTCCCCTAATCGGAAATGTACATACTTGAACTGTTACTAAAACAGTAAAACAGATATACTTCAAATAACGTTCTTCTTTTTTGGTTACGCCATTTCGGGCAACTTCAACTACAATAAAATAATATATTTTTAGCTCAATAAATTAATGGCATGTTAAATTTTTCTTTGTTTCAATGTACAACGACCGCTACTTGTTGACTTCTAAAATGTTACAAATTTGTGTACGTTACTTTTGTAAAAACATTGTCTGCATAACAAACTTTGTCTTGCCCTTGAAATGTTTTGGTATGTTAATTTGGAAAAAACCACCAACAACAGTAGCAACAATATTTTCAAAAAATGTTAAAATAACGGCTTAACAAAATGTTTGTTATTTTTTTTTTTTTAATATAGTTTTTTCATTTTGGTATGTCACACAAGTAGTTATAATAATATTTTCTATTTTGTTTTGATAGTTTTTATCATTTATTCATTCCGTCAGTCATTCAGTTGTACGTACAAGTGGGTGGTTGTCTTTTGGTTGGGTGGAAGTGCAAAAGTTATTTGTGAAAACAATCAAACATACAAGAGTTATTTTCATACGGTAGTTTTGATGTATGTATCCTGCGTAATTGTTCATTGAAAAATTAGCATCGCGTGTAACCACATTTTATTTTTGTTTTTTTTATAACGTAATTTTAATATGTGGCATTTAAGTTTATTTCCGATAAAAATAGAAAAAAAAAAATAAACAAATTTTACCTTCAACATCAAACTTTTTCAACAAAAATTCTATAAGTTTTATCAATAATTTTTGCGTTTTCATTTTAGATTTTTATATTTGAAGTTTTACCATTTTCTTTTGCAGTGTTAATTTACATATGAGCATATCAAAAACGTTTCAAAAAATTAACGGAACATTTAAATCAAAATAATAGTTTAATACCCACCTCTGGCTCATTAAATGTGTTATATTATAATTTATAATTAAATAAGTGTAATTTTGTTATAAAACAATTTTTATTAAAAACTAAAATAAAATTTTAATAATGATACACTTATATAAAATTATAGAAAAAGTCTTATTGTGTTTATGAATTTGAATTAACAGATCAGATCTATCGAGAATTCGTTTGACTGAAATCCCAATTGTTTTCAATGTGCGATATTTTTAGTGGATAATCGAAATAAAAGAACACATTTTTAATCGATCTTTTCATAAAACCCCGTGAAAATGTAAAAAATTTAAATTTTAGAATCGAATCGCCAATTAATCTAAGGAATCGTCCATCAACGATAGCTTTACAGTATCTGAAAAAATTATAAAATTTCAAAGTAAATTAAAAAATGGAAATTCCATTAAACGGGTACTTAAAAGGTGGAATTTAAATTTACACGTTTGGAAAGGTGGGACTTAAATGTATATGTATCTATGTACGTATCTTAATCATAGTTTAGCAACTGCAAAAGTATTAATATTAGTCAGAATACCATCAATAAAACTAAATTAAGTCTATAAAAGTATATGAACATATGTAAACAGCTGCTACCCTTAAATCTGTTCATAAAATTGAACAAATACTTTCCAAAAGTTGTTTTTGTATATAATTATTGTGCAGGTAATTTGTAAGACTCCAAACAGGTACAAGCGTAATTATTTTACACACATTCAATACAATTGATGAAATTTAAAGCTGCTGTCATTATAATTTGTTTTTCGCGTACTTCTTTTAACAACACAATTATGCGTATTTAAAATCATTTTATTTAAACTAGGCTGTGAATTGTTCTAGTGCTTCGCATGTTCGGACGTTATTTGTTATTGACGCTCTGCTGATCATCGCCCACCGTAATATTGGCACAAATATTCTAAAACATTTGTTTGTTTCAAACAGTAATAATAGTTAAATATTATTTAAATAGTTTTGTTTAATACCTTTTAAATAATTTTTTTTACTATGAATACTCGTTAAACCGGAAATTCTTAACACAATCCTTTTGTGTTATAGATCAAAAGAATCTTACATGATACAATTGTATTATATCTTTTTCAATAAATGTGGGTTGTCAATAGTGTTTATTTTTTTACAATTACTTATATTATTGCTATATATGGCTATAGTTATTTAAAAAACAGAAAAAATAACAACATGTGTATAAATTGTACTTTAATTAATATTGTTTTTTAATTTTTACTTACAGATTCTATTTTCACGAATAGCTACATGATTATGAAACTGATTTGTATGTAACCTCTCTCTACTTCTACCTAGCAGCTAAAAACATTTGTTAATTGAGTGCCGAGCATTTGAAATAAAGAACAAAATTAAAAAAATATATTAATTTACTTAAAGTAAGAAGAAAAGTTCCTGGGCTTTGAATTTGCAAAAAGTAATTGTTCATCTTTAACACATTGGTGGACAATTGAAAAAAGCATGCATCATGGCTCGTCATATAATGGCTGTTTGTGTGGTATGTCTGTTGTGTGCAGATCATTTGCCATGCCAACAACATGTTGAAACATTATTTCCTGCCCAAACCTTAAACACGGAGTATACACAATTGAATGCAATTGTTTACAATACAAATGATTTGTCCAATTCCGTTTCATCGAAAACTCCAGCGACAGAAACCACCGTTGCATATGCCACATCATCTAGTGATAATCGTCGACGCCGAAGAACAAAGAGACATTCAAGCGACCAAGGTCACGGTCATGACAGTGACTCTTCGCACACACGACCCGAAATTACAGAAGCATTCTTAAAAAGAATATTTAATGAATTCGGTAGCGGTAATGATACAATAAATGTTCAAGATTTTCAACGAATGTTAAACAAATTGGGATTACATCAGCTGCTGCCGCAACAATTACATAAACTCGATAATAATAATAACAATAATGATAATGAAACCGTAAGTTTAAATATTCTATTATTATAAACGTTATAAATAACAAATGTTATTTCATTATCTATAGACAGGTATTATTATTGTCCTAGTTATTAACTACAAATAGTAAACAAAACAAATATGTATATCTGTACATGAACATATGTAGACATTTAGTTAGCTTATTTGACAAAAAGTACTAAGTACCTTTTTAGGACAGAGTTAGAATTTTTTTATAATAGTTTGTTGGAATTAAAAATATGTTTTTAAATGAACTTTCTTGTATTTATTAAATCAAAAATTCTATTAATTTAACATTTAGTTATTGCTTTTTAGATTAAATTTTTCTTTACCAAATACAACTAAAAACATGGCAGATTTGCAGGTTTTACAATAAATTTTTCTCGTACTTAAAATATTAATATATTTTCTTCTAAATTCTTTTGACTAAATCCGGAAATTCTGACCAGTACTAGAACAGTTTAATATTTTATCAGTTAAACATAGTTTTTCCTCATAGCCTTTAAACCATAAAAATCAAAAATTTTAAAATTCATAATTATTTATTTTTTAGTGCATTGCTGATTCAAATTTGGTGCATTATATTAAGCCTCACAATCCTCCATTACATGATCATCATAATCATAATATTGATAATAATCATCACCATCATCAACATGAACATCATCATCAACATCAACATGACAGCGAAGAAATTTCTAAAAATTGTACAAACACCAACTCTGAGGGTTGTACTCATTCAAATACTTCAGAGCATAGTGAAAATGAACATGTCGATTATGCTCTCAGCCAAGAAGATATCGTAAATGTATGTCCAGTACTGTTATATAAACTATCATCGGCCAATACAGGTTGTATAACAAAAGAATTATTAAGGGAAATCGATGAACATGAAATGAAACATTTTCAACAAAATAGTGAAGACATTCTTTGGGGTAAATAAACAAATTATAGCTAATTTAACATATATTTTTGTATTAACCTATATTTTAATGTTTTGTTCTTTTATGTAGTATGGATTTATGCATTTAGCTCGGTTTTAGCCTGCAGTATTCTTGGTTTAGTTGGTGTAGCAATTATACCTTTTATGAATTCACGTTTTTATAAACACATCATTCAATTTTTGGTATCATTGGCTGTTGGTACTATGACTGGTGATGCTCTTCTTCATCTGTTGCCCCATGTAAGTTTTAGAATCTCTATGAAGTGATTTTTGCTTATTTTTCTCCTTATTTTTTTCACAGTCACTTGCTGGACAAAATGAAAGTAATATGATCTTTAAAGGTCTTACTTGTATGGGTGGCATTATTTTCTTTTATATAACCGAACATGGCTTGACCATGATATCAGAGTGGCGTAAAAGCGTGGCTAAAAAGGAGGCCAATCAGCCTTCTAGAGCTAAAGTTATGAGGGATCCCGATTCGTCTCTAAACAATTCTGTGGCTGGCGATAAAGTTTGCAAATCGAAGTACAGTTCATATCCATATTGTTATGATGATATTGCCATGGATACGAAAAATGATGTGTGGTTGCATATGCCTACTAAGTCTTGTGAAAATGTAGAAAATAATGGTCGCAATGGAAAAGTTGATACAGAAGGTGGCGAAAATGTCACACAATCATTACTCTCAACGTCGCAAAATAATTATGCTCCTTTAGCCGAAAAAAATCACAATGTACACAATCATAATCATCATCATAATGATCATCAACAGCAGCAAAACACTCAGCAGCATCAACATGGTCATTGTCATGCAGTGCCTGATAATAATACTGTATCTACCGATTTAGATGGAAATGTTGTGGGTGATTGTAGTGGTGCTATAAATACCGTAACTGGAGCAACGAATGGCAAAGAATTGGCCAATGACAATACTGTTACTATTATTCTGCGCGAACATGAATCTTCTCATCATGGTCATTCACATAAACATGGTCATGTTCACTCACCTCCGGAATCTTTAAGTGCTGTTGTTTGGATGATTATTATGGGAGATGGTTTGCACAATTTCACTGATGGCATGGCAATAGGTATGTATGGCAAATAATTTTTAATATGTATGTAATATGAAAGTAAAGAAATAATTTAAAGTTTACAAATCTACTTCGTGAAGTTACGTGATAAAGTTATACCATATTTACTATTCTACCTATGATATGTCGTTCTTAAATTCATATAATTTTCAGGCGCTGCCTTTGCTGAAAATATGGCCGGTGGATTTTCAACAGCCTTAGCTGTTTTTTGTCACGAATTACCACACGAATTGGGAGATTTTGCAATATTAATGAAAGCTGGCATGTCGGTAAAGTCAGCGGTTTACTATAATCTCTTAACTGGTGTATTGAGTTTTATAGGCATGATATTCGGTATTGTTTTTGGACAGTCGCATGAAACTGCCCAATGGATGTTTGCAGCAGCTGCAGGACTTTTTATATACATAGCCATGGTAGATATGGTAAGTAGAAAAGGACTTTTAAACACTATATTTTACATTAGAACTTTCATGAAACTCTTCCTCATTGCAGATGCCAGAAATATCGGCAGCTCATAAGTCATTGCAGCAATTTGCTTTACAAATTTTGGGCATGGCAAGTGGTGTTTTACTAATGCTTTTGATAGCAGTGTATGAAGATGATTTAAGAAATGTATTTTCTACCGCCTAAAAATTCAGCTATTAATCACAACAACCAATGGATTCCTAAAAAATAACAAAATAATGAAAATAGTTGTTAAAAACAAACTCTGTATTCTTTTACTTAAAACAAGAAGAAACTACCACACGACTACTATCACTACTTTCAAAATAACTATGATTAGGAACAGAACATAAACAAACAAACCATTAATTAGTCATATTAGTAATACATTCAATACAATTATATAAATATTAAAAAAAACATAAGTAAAATTAAAAAAATCATCATTTGTATTTATACCAAGTATATTAAGCTCAAATGTTAATTATTCACAGTCGCCAATCAAACACGTACATACACTCTTTCACTCACATATACATAAATATTTATTTTTGTTGCATAAAATCTTAAAAAATATTTATATTCTTCTCACCAGCGAATATTTTAAACTTAATTTAATACTATTTTCCACAAAATTATTTCATTATTTTGTTGATCTCCTGTTTTTTAAAGGAGGCTTGTTTATACATTTAAGCCAGTGTAACGTGAAAACATATTCACTTTTATATTTTAACAAATTATCTACAAATATTTTGCTGAAAACTTAAAGTAACGAACTGTCTAACATTTTACTTAAACATTTCTACACTTTCACTTAATTTACTAACTTACGCCACTCCACCACCTACTGTTTGAGAAAAAGTAATCTTAAATAATTTGCAAAGTGTGTTCGAATTCGTTAGAAATAAATGTGTTTGTTTCTTTCATTTAATATTTTTTCTACTAATTAGTATACATGATTTTTTATTATTAATATATATTAAAGTATATTTTTTTATTTAAATTCTAGTTCTTGTTAATTTTGTTTTCCTTCTAATCCGTTTACTTAAAATTAGTTTTAAGTTATTTTAGATGAGATAATTTGAAAAGAAAAAAAGTAATTAGTATTAGATAAAGTTTTTCATTTATGAAAATATTTTTTGTCTTTTTAATATTAGCAATCACTTAGTGATTTAATTATGATATTTTTTTATATAAAAATACATGCAATTGGAGTTAATATAACTGATTTAATACTATTTCGAATTTATAATTAAGAAAAAGTCTGTCTTAAGGTTGGTAAACCTCATAACAATATTTTAAAGGGTTCTGTTCTGGACAGAGGAGCAAAAGCTAAATTTTAAAACTTAACCCGATGAACAATTTGATTTGATTGATTAAAATACCGAAACTATACTCCAATCTTTGGTGGACAAGTATTTGTATGATTGTTCGGATTCTTTAAATTTGAAAATGAGAATAACGAATGCAGGCGGTATACAGTAGTCACTGAAAAGTGAGTTCTTGGATAAATACAAGTCATTACCATGTTTTTGCTGGGTTGATTAAGAATTTTTAAAGATTACCAATTTTCCGGGAACGAATTCACCATTTCTTGAAATAAAATTGAATAGATATTATTTTAGTTTCCTTGGCAACTTGTTAGAAATCCTTTTATGGTTTTCGATAAATTTATATCTTTTGCACTATTAGTTCATAAATTATGAAAATCTTTATTAATATATTTTTTTTAAACTTCTTTAAGATTCTACAGTTAAATTTACACATTTATTTATAACTTACTAAGTGCGTGTTTTTTTTAATAAAATAATAAATTTAATACAAATTTATGCTTTTTATTTTTTATAAGATATTGTTAGTCTTTTTATATTACTTGGGAGACCACTTTTCTAAAATTAATATTTTTTAAAAATGCATTGTTTACAAAAGAAAAACTAAAAAAGATTTAACAGTTATGTTTTATTTCCCAGTTCTTATTTAAAACGTTAATTTCACAAAGATCGATATAATTAAAAGTTAGTAAAAAATTACTTTTAAAAATTAAACTTTGTCGGTTGTGAAAATGGAGTTTCGAAAACAAACTAAAATTGGAAGTTTTAGATTACAAAACAACATTTTCATTCATATCGCTATATACAAAATCCCTTAAAAGTAACATTTTCGCTTAAATTCCTACATAATTTTACAAATATGTAAGAAATTTTAACAATATGTACATATTAAAATTTAATATACATCATTTAATTCTCCAATTTGTTTTATACCACTTTTACAATAATAATATTTTTTTAAAAGTAAACTAAGTTTTTGAGCTATCACTTCCAGCGGTATTTATTGTTATCTTAAAAAAAGAAGCAGAAAAATGTAATGAATGACAGTTTGGAATTATTAGTTTATTGTACACCCTGTTAAATTTGGTGTATGTGTCAAATAGAAAAATGTCAGCGACCGGATTGTTTCTCCTGCGTTCTTTTTTGTTAATTTTACCAATTTTGGTATTAAATACCAATGGTCAAGTGAATCCTGTTCCTAGTCCAGTTGGTGTTCATCGTAGATTTGAATACAAATATTCCTTTAAGCCACCATATCTGGCACAAAAAGATGGAACAGTACCATTCTGGGAATACGGTGGTAGTAAGTATACAACAACAATAACAACATTAGTTTTGACAACACAGACACGTCAGAGAAAATGCAATTGTCTCCCCTGTTAATCCGATTATCCATTAGAGTAAAAGAGATGGTAGAACGAAATAAAAAAAGTTGACAGAGTGGCAAAAGTGGCCACTGGATGTGAATATAATACAATATTGTTTACATTTACTTTTTGGTCAAATTATTAACAATACTTTTAATAAATTCCAGATGCTATTGCCAGCTCAGAAAGTGTGCGTGTAGCACCATCATTGCGTTCACAAAAAGGTGCCATCTGGACTAAGAATCCCACAAGCTTTGACTGGTGGGAAGTTGAAATTGTATTTCGTGTAACCGGTCGTGGTCGCATTGGTGCCGATGGTTTAGCTTTCTGGTATACCACACAAAAGGGCGACTACAACGGTCCGGTCTTTGGCTCCTCAGACCGCTGGAATGGTTTAGGTTTATTCTTCGATTCATTCGATAATGACAATAAACACAATAACCCCTACATTATGGCTGTTGTCAATGATGGCACTAAACAGTTCGATCATCAAAACGATGGCACTACTCAACTCTTGTCTGGTTGTTTACGTGATTTCCGTAATAAACCTTTCCCAACACGTGCCCGCATCGAATACTACAACAATGTATTGACTGTTTTATTCCACAATGGCATGACCAACAACAATGACGACTATGAAATGTGTTTGCGTGCTGATGGTGTGCAATTGCCTAAGAACGGTTACTTTGGTTTATCAGCTGCTACAGGCGGTTTGGCCGATGATCACGATGTCTTCCACTTCTTGACGACATCTCTGCATCCACCTGGTCAAATACCCACCGAATCTAAGGTTCCACAAGACAATGAGAAACTCTCACAGGAATACAAAGAATATCAAGATAAATTGGAAAAACAAAAAGCTGAATATAAAAAAGATCATCCCGATGATGTGAGTAGAAATATATATTAAGGAACTTTTTATCACCACATCATCTATAACACATAATCTTTATAAAAATATGTTTTATCTTTCGGAAGCTTTCATAAAAATCTATCTAAACTATTCCCTTACACTCAAAGATAGGGAAATTTTTAAATTAAAAAAAATATCAAAACAAAATTTGTTGAATAAAAACCGGTTTTATAGTTTAACATAAGTCATGGAATAGTACTTATATACATACATGTCTTGAACAGTTTTAAAACTAACCTTAACTTTTTAATAATAGGAAATTTTAAAAATTTTCGTAAATGATTCCTTTAGTTTTCCATTAAAACTTGATAAATTTGATTAATTTTAACCTGTTATAAGTAGGAACTTTATTTTTAAAGTGTTAAAGAAATATAAAACATTTCTGCGGTAAGATTATAAACCTCATTTACATTATTTAAACCTTTGTTCATTTGTTAAACTCACAATTATTTGCAAAAACTAGTTATTTATATAATTAAACCTAATTTTAGCACAAAGACGATGAAGAATGGGAAGAATTTTATGAATCGGAAAACCAACGTGAATTGCGTCAAATTTGGCAAGGTCAAAGTCAAATCTTTGAACACATACGTGAATTGTCTCGTAAAATGGACGAAATAATTGGCAGACAAGAAAACACATTGTCTCTAGTATCTCGCGGTCTTTCAGGTCAAGCTGCTGCAGTACCACCAGTAGCTGGTCAAGCAGCACCAGCACCAATAGCCGGTACTATAACGCGTCCAGAAGTTGACATACTTATTGCCAATCAAAACACTTTGTTGGCCACCGCTAGAGAATTGCGCACTCTTATCGGAGATATACACGCTAGAGCCGATACCATTTTACAAAACCAACAACGTGCTCCTAGTGGTCAAGTACAGCCAGTTGGTGGTTATGATATTCAGGCTGTTATAGCTGAAATGCGTGATGGCATGAATCAAGTGAAACAGGGTATTTCACATGTGGGTCAAAAGTAAGTTGCAATAATAACCATAATAAAACCATAAGTTACTAAACGGTTTGTAATGTTAAAATTTCAGATTGGGTGCTTCTCCTCAAGCTCAAGGCCAAGCATCTTGCCCCACTGGCAATTGTGTTGGTGTGACCATGTTCCTTAGTGTTACGGCTGTGCAGCTATTATTAGTTTTTCTATACACTGTTTTCAAGTAAGTTTTCTTTTATCAATTATAAATCTTGTAGAAATGGTCTCTAACTGTATTTATTCATTTAATTCCAGGAGCAGAAGTGAGGCTCAGGCTAAAAAATTCTATTAGGTCAATATAATAAAAGTTTTGATAAGAGTAAAAACATAACAAAAAGTTATAAATGAACATTAATGCAGCCGTTATTATTCAAACAAACATTGTTTTCAAGTTTGTTTCTTATAAGAAATGCGAAACAAAAATGAATGTATTTAAATTAAACAAAGAAAACCTTTTATATTCAAAAAACAAATAGAAACAAGTAAAAAGAAATACCTTAAAAACACAAAATCATATCTATATGTTGTATACCGCCCATCCAAATGAAACAAAAATATACAAACAAACAGACAAACTGACTGAACTACGTTGATTTTAAAACTTCTTGAAGTAAAAAAAATCAAAACTTTTGAATTCTAATTATTTCTCCTACCAACAAACAAACAACAGTCTCATAAAAAGCTAACGTTTTTTTTTCTTATAGCAGGTTTTATGATGAATTCTTAATACTTGTTTTGAGATTCTGCAAGTCTTCTACAATATCATCTCTCTTAATGTTAATTCGTTTTTGTTTTTCTCTAAACTTAATTTGTTTAAAATGTTTTTTTTTTTCGACGAAAAAATTATGTTATTTTGTTCTTTTTTAGTTTTTTTTTACTTTTTTAAATTTAAGTTTTTTAGTTTTATGACTATAAATATTAACTGTTTTTTATGCAGTTGATAAATTACAATTTTTTTTACAAATTGATATTCTACATAAACTTTTTTACAAACAATTTGACCACATTCCAGTCTCTAAAAATATTCTTACTACTTAATAATTATAAATTTGAATCAAGTTCTTCTCTCTCTTTCTTTTATTAAGAAATATAATTTGTCTTTTTTTACGATGATAATAAAAGAAATAATAAAAAATATATATTTATACAAGTGTTTTATTTTATGTTAAGATCTTGCGGTTTGCACAAGAGTTTTTAATATTTCAGCTATTTTTAATAGAAAGTTCTTTATGGATCTTACATTTTAAAGTTTAGAATACAAATATTAAATATCGAATTAATAATTTGGTCTTGATCTTAAACAGGAACTTTAGTTCTTGAATTTGTGTTCCTAAACAGTAACAGTAAACTGAGGAAGGCTTCAGTTTTTTCCGGTTTTCGACCAAAGAGCTTGAAATTCGAAAGAAAAGCACCCTCTTCTGCTTTTCAATTCGACGTTCTGTCACTAAACGATAACAAAAGCGTAGTTGCAATCGTAATGTACAATACCCACAATGGTAAAATATTCAAATGAAATGGAATTGCTTCTACTTTTGTATACCCTACACCACTAAGTGGGGAGTGTATTATGCGTTTGTGCTGATGTTTGTAACACCCAAAAATATTGGTTCTATACCCACCTTAAGGTATACCTATCGGCTCAGAATCACTTTTTGTGTTGATTAATGTTCGTCTGTCCATCTGGGTGTCCTTGTAAACTTTGTGCCCACGCTACAGATCACAATTTTTAAGATAATTTGATTAAATTTGGCATATACTGTTCGTTTGACCCAAGGATCCAAAAAGCCTATTGGAAATGGTTTAAATCGCCCAGCCCCCATATAACATAACCCCCCGAATAGGGCTTTTAAGACTATAATTATGTTAAATGTTGTAGAATCTCTACAAAAATCGGCAAATTTTAGTTTTATATATGTAAGTTTAAATGATACTGCCGATTTTCGTAATTATCGGGTCTAACGAGACTCTAGCCCCCATACAAAGTCCCCTTCAGAAAATGACCTGAAGTTGAATTCACTTTTAAACAGTAGTATCACGATGAAATTCTGTAAAAATAACTTTAATGTCATCATAATTCGCTCTATCAAAATTTATACAGATATGGCCATATTTACCTTTGCCCCTATGTAACCAACCCACTTTTCAAAAATCACTGTTTTTGACAACAAACTGTTAAAATATATCGGAATTAAGGTAGAATGCTTTATTAGAAAAATAATCCACATTTTTTAACATACATACTGCATTATTACTTATCTTACGATTGAGTGACCAATGATCATAAAATATGCTAGTTATTAAATTTAAAGGAGTTTTAAAGAAGTTACTTAGACACGGTTCACATCAGCAACTTTTGAAATTATGGGGAAGAGAAGAAATAAATATCATTCGTCTTTATTCTTTCTCATGCAAATCAAAAATTTTTAAATCAAAAGTGTTTTAACAAGTTATTTAAATTTTCTAATTTTTTCCGTCCAAAACAATTGGTTTTTGAAGGATAGTATGTGTGAGCACAAAATAAGCTCCTCTTTAAAGTTTTGTTTCTCGGACCCAAATAAAAAATAAGAGTGATCTTAAAATTCTAACGTGTTTTAACAGAGTATCCAGCAATTTTTAGTTTTTGATTACAAAAGTTTAGTTTTGAAGAAAATTATGAATCATCTCATAATTTTAAAGTTTTCGTCCAAGTCTATTTGTGATGAAAAATTAAGTACAGGCATCTCCAAAGAAAAATCCTTTTTCAAACTATATTTTTGTGCACTTAAATTCTGATGTAAATGATTTTGATTTCTTTTGGGAAATTGAACCATAACTGGAGGTTTTGAATATAAAATGTATATTTTATATACATATGTACATTGTACATACATATTTACATATGTATATTGTACATGTACATGTGTTACACATGTATGTATGTGGATAAATAAGTACATAAGAATAAATTCATATATTTTTCCATAATAAAGAATTTACCCAGACAATAAATATCAACGGTAGCAAACATTTTTGAAAACATTTTGTTGCCAGAATTTGTCCGACAAAATGGAGCCTTTTATGTACACATGTAAAGTATTTTTTTTTTATTATACATATGTACATTATGTACATAAAAATTGGAAAAACCCCAATGAATAACGGTAATTGTATGTATGTATATGTTTGGCCTTTATACGCGCAGGATTCTCTTTGTCATAAAATACTTTTTTTTTATATAATTCTACTGAGTTAAATAAACAACGGGGTGGAAAACGCAGAAAAAAGATTTAATTCTAACCAATCACCACATTGTGGCCCAAGACGAAGAAAATGGCGTTACAGTTGATTTGAGTGATTTTCATAGAAATTACTCGAAATTTGTGGTTAGAAATATTTTTGGTCACGAGATTACATTTATCTACAATATTAATATAAGTTTTGAGTTTGTTTAATATTTTTAAAATTTATTAAAATTGATTAATTAGTTAAATTAAAAAAATAGTAGTTATTTGTTTATATCTGTATACATTTTTATTGTTTAATATACAGCAGGTGAGTTTTTCATCAAGTTTTTTAAACAACAATTTTAAAGTATGAAAGTTTTCTATATTTTAAAGATATTTTATTTACATTTAAATGAATTAAAATAAATATTTTAAGTTTAACAATTAAAATTTCAAATGAAGGCCCATTATACAGAATGATAAGCTGTCCTTATGCTTTATTGATATCTTTTTACTAAATAACAATTGTAATAATAGAAACGAATTACAATCTGCATTATAAAATCCTACCTTTAGTTATTGCCAAGTTGTAATAATGGGTCTAAATAATATTAAATTTTCAAATAAATTATTGCAATTTCATCTTAAAGATCAAAATCCAATTAGAAGTTAGATTTTTCAATCTAACATAACGAACATATCTTATACGATCTGTCCGTCTTTTTTGATGGTGGGTATAAAAATAAATTGCGAAATTATGTCTACAGATTAATTGTATTAATACGTTAGTAACATATTGAAATATTAGTCACATACCAATATGGGCAATTTCATATCAAGTGACCCGACTCAAAAAATCGATTCTGATGAAATTTGCATCAAGGATAGTACTATTGGTAGGCCAGACACAAATTTTCAGCTCTATCGGTCCAGAACTGCCGGAGTTAGATGGGGTCAAATTTGGACATTTTGGTCATACAGGGTTTTATTCAAATGAGTGTAACATTTCACCTATTGGCGAAAATTGTGAATTTTTTTAAAAAGTTGGGTCACTTGAAACGAAATTACCCATACATTCTGGATCATTTTTAAATTTTAAGATTATGGAGTCCGATTGGAAAGAACTGCGTAACTAAAATTTTGCACAAATGAGATAAATAAGTTTTATACAAACAAAAATATTATCACAAATTTTACAACGATCAGTCCATAATTGACCCTACACGGTCCCCTTCAGGAAAATAATTACTGACTTAAAAATACGAGTTCAGCTTTGAAATTTCACATAACCAAATTTTGTGAGGATCCATATTTGACCGTACTCCCATCCATATAGTCCCCTTCAGAAAATAAGTTTAATGCTGACTTAAAAATACGAGTACAGTAATGAAATTCGATATAAACAAGTTTTATAGGGAGAGAGAAATCGAATTTTATGAGCAATAACTGACCCTACACCTCATATAAAGTTTCCTTCAGAAATTGATTTCAATGATTATTACCGACTTAAAAATAAGGCTATTGCGATGAAATTTTGCATTTTTCACTATTTATTCGAACCGAAATCTCTCCTGTTGTATGGTTTTCATATAAAAATCTATTTTCACTATTTTACGATTGGAGGTTTATTTAAGAAACTAGAGCCGATTTTGAAAAAAGTTTGAAGTGAGCATATACAAACGTCGATTGTTAAGTTAAATTTAAGTGATCAAGATTTTAGTTATTTTCACAAGTGGAGGTTTATTTAAGGAACATTAGAGCATTCGATTTTTCGTGCAAAAGTAATTTCTTGAAGAAAAAATGAGGAGGTCCCAGAAATTGGTTATTTTATCCATAGGTTTATTTAAGGAACTAGAACCTATTTCATTGTAGGCTTATTAAGAACACTAGAGCTAGAGATTTTTCGTTTTTCATTCAAAAATCATTTCTTCTCATCAATCTTCTCTAGGATTTTAAGTTTTTTATATAAATATAATTTGATAATTTTTAATAAAACTTCATTAGAATACTTTTTAGTAAAAAGTTTTTACTTGAGATAAGTTCTTTGGTAATAATTTTAACGAATACATTGTGGGCGAGTCCTTGTCTTATTGATGTTAAGATTTAATAAATGAGATTAAAATGTCAACTTGCTACTGAGCAAAGGATACTCATTTATACAAACTGCCCTTTTTCCGAACATATTAGGACATTTAAGTATTAATTGTTGTTGTTAATACTGGTAGCATTTAACATTTATTTAAAATGTACCAAAAAAAAAACTTTAGCTCAATTGAGTTTTAAATTGATGTCTCAACCATTCATTATCCGTAATGTTCATCTAAACTGTCGGTCCATCAAATTCATTTATTATATTTTCCTCCAAATGCACTTGTAAACCATGCGCCCAACATGTGTGTGTGTTTGCTGAGGGAAAC